TCAGCGAGGACTATATTAAAAAACTGTTCAGACGTTCATAAGACTGTTTTATTTCACTCAACGTCAAAACAGCAAAAAAGGACGGGTCAATTAAACGGGATCTGAACTCGAAAATACTAAACAAAAAAGTATTTTGCAACAGATATCAATGCCCATTTTGATTGAACTAATTGATTACGTCGCTTTAATAATAAGCGATCACAACAAAAACAAATACTGGTTTTCATCTATCGACCTGAAATATGCATGAAGCCAGATACCACTGTAGAAAAAAGCAAGTAACCAATGCAATTTGAACATTATGAGAGGAGATGTTATAGGCTCATACCATTTTGAAACAGGATTTTACGGATTAGGCGATATGCCGAATGAATTTCAACGTATCATGGACCGTCTAATGGGAAAGCTACCAAATACACACTGTAACTTAGACGACATTTAATCGCTACAGTAATTACCACTAAAGAACACTGCAAATTAGTTACTGACGTTCTAAGAAATTGGGCGACAATGAGTTAGCCTTAAAACGGGAGAAATGTAAATTTTTGACAAATTAGATAGAGTAAATAGGATTAAAAGTCGACGCCAAGTAGACCGCTCCTTTAGTCCACATCAGACGCAATTAAAAACTTGAAAGAACTGCGATCTATCAAGGACATAAGATCCTTAATGGGCTCAATCAACCATTTTAATAAATTCACTCCTTGTCTCCACCGTTTAGAGAACCAATGCAAAAAAATAAACAGTTTAATTGGTCGAAGGTACATTTTGCTGCGTTCGAGAAAATCAAGAAGGAAAACAGTATTACAGTAGCAAACCACCATTTCAACGTTAAAATCAATACAAGAATCAATTGCGATGCTTCACACTTACGATTGGGTGGATCCCTCGAGCAAGACTAAAGGAAGTCTGGAAAACGGTAGTGGTCGCGAATATGTTCGTTCCTCAATATTGCCAAACTAAAATACAGCACTACTGAATTCGAACTGTTGGGTTTATTTTGGGTACTAGAACGTTTTAAAACTATCTTTTGGGCAAACAATTTTCTTTTTCTATTCTTACCGATCATAAAGCATTAATAGGGGCACTGAACGACAATGAATATACAAAGACAGCCCAATCTCGCCTCTACCGCTGGGCAGATAAGTTTTTACAATATGATTTCACAATCAAACATCTCCCGGGCCAGGAAAAAGGATTTGTTTTTGCCTCCGTAAATTATATTAGCCTTATTTTAGGCTTTGAAAAACTGCTGCCTAGATGTTCTCATTCGCAAATAAGGGACAAATTTTCTCCACAAACAGCATCACATGACTTTGAATACAGCAATGTGATTGGCCAATCGACTAATGATATGATAAGACAAGAATTTGAACGCGAGAAACGAATTTAGAAGGCTACAGAAGTTTTGCAAACCATATTTATGCATTCCCAAATGTCAGTGTGTCAAAACTTTCTTTCGCAAACAGAAGATTGCATTCCATCTTGCCAACCTATTAAATTTTCAAATAAGTAAAAAAATCTAAAAGAAATGTCTGATAGGGGAAAAACTAGCGAACAAACTGAAAATCCAATTTTATAAAATCCCATCTGCTTTGCCCAGTATTAGCTACCCAACGGGTACATCTGCAGACCAGTTACATAGAAATGAAAAAAAAAATCCTCAGTCTTTTAAGCATAAACTATCTCCATTCTCAAGGCCAAAATTTTTTTCTACTTTCAAGGCGTTACTTACTAAACAAAACCTTGTATTTAAAAAGATTATAAAAGCTATCGAAAAAGATCAAAAACAAGATATTTTGCAAATGGAAAATTTTTTTAAACCTTGTATCAACAATTTACACGTGAACGGGGCATGTCTTTACCAGCATGCCTATGGATTACTATGCTACATCGGCTACTTGTAGAACATCCTGGTCAAATCGCATTGAAAAGTCTGGCAAATCTTTACATCTGGTGGCCAAAAATTTACCGAGAAATCCAAAGTCACGGAGAGAACCGATTAAGTGCTTTAAAGCAGGCAAAAACCTGAAACATCTTTCAAAACACAAAAATCTTGGAAAGCTCCCATTGGTCGTAGAACCAAACCAAGAAATAGAGTTAGATTTTGCCGGCCCGCCGCCGTTAACTTGGGGAATAAAAAAGAAGATATTCGTGTGCATAGACCGCTTCACAAAATACCCTTTGGTGCACATAACATCTAGCACATCTGCTAAATCCGTCATTAACTTTCTTAGAAAATATACAACTCTGCATGGTATAACTAGAACAAGTAGAGCGGACCAAGGGTCGGGATTTATCTCTAAAGATGTCCGAGAATTTTGCCAAGAACAAAATACTAAACGTTATATTTAGCCCAGTGGGCGACCATGGAGCTGCAAACTGGTTGACTAACTGATTCTAAGAATAAAAGAACGACTTATGGTCATGGCACAAGAAAAGCCAAAGCTCTCTTCAGAAATAGCCTTACTAAAAGAGTTATGGTCTGTAACTCAACAATCACTAAATTGCTCTCCTTTTGAAGCACATTTTGGTAGATCACCAAAAACTATTTTGCACAATCTGGTAAAAATTCCATTTTCAAAAAAAACTTGGATTGGAACAAAACACTGTTATGCATAGATTAAGGAAGAAAAGTAATGTGCCGGGACAGACGACATGACTGAGACGCTCCTGATGTTATAGAAGACGGAAACTTGGATGACGAATCCTCCTCATCAGAAGACATTGCAAACGCTACCAGATACGTGCCAACAAGCTCGCGCTCTCCAGTGAAGCTTTTCTCCCGCTCAGAGAAACAAAAGGTTCTAGGCGTGGCCAATCCCGTTCTGAGTAACCCATCGAGTAAGACCCTTATCTATAGAAAAGTTCGGGACAGAAAAAAGAACAAAGAAGAAATCGTAAGGGAATCGGATCATATAACAAATCTTAAAAGTGGTAAAATAATCTGTAAATCTGACTTAGCCGTGAAAATACCTACTGAACCGAGGAAGGTGAGCCCTCGTAAAAAGTATCAAGTTATCAAGTTTGTTACCAGAAAAGGACCTAGGAAGGTGATAAAAGCAGCCAGAAAGGATTTAAAAGCAGTCGGATTTAAAAGCTCGAAGGCCACTCAAAACAAAAAAAAAACAAAAAAAATTCCAGACTAAATTCGAAGAATTAGACATCGCTAGACGAAACGCAGCCATCAATTTTTCGAGGGAAACTTTGTTACGAGAGGAGCAAAATGAAAGAAAACAACTTAGATGTCCTATTGGAGTAGAGGATAACCAAGATTTTATCCCGCCGGGATAACCCAGCCGACTACTAACACCAGACAAATCAGACAAAACACTCGCAAATATGTCGATGGAAACCATCTCGGATGACGAAGCTAGCCACCTGATACTACTCAAAGACCTTAAGTCACTTACCAGAATTAATTGAGAAAATTTTTAGGATAGCACTGTTCAAGACCACGGAATAAATAAAAAAGAAACACTGCGAAGAGAAGATACGAATCTAGTAAACGAGCAGGACCCACCTCAAGCCGCAGCCGACCGGAATCCAACCGTCATCAATCTGGAGCAACTCACGATTCCACCAATTATTCATCTCCATAGTCAGGACGAAATGGGTTATAGCAACTCAGAAGCTACGAACGAAGGCGAGAGGTCAGAACTTCAGAACAGTCAAAACGGACCCAGAAATCTAGAGAATAGACCCCATTCCGACTCAGGGTTCGTCTAAAACAAAATCTACAGGAATTTCCAAGAGAAAAGCATCGTAGCCCTAAAATCGCAACCTCCAAGATAATGTCAAAACCCCATATCAGATATAATACGGGACCCATTCGAGCCAGACAATCTCCATCCTTATTGGGAGAAACGGTATTTACGAGCCTCGCTGAAGCCTTAGACGATAGACCAGGTGAACATCCTTTAACCTACTTATCGACCCCACTGCCCACTTCATCCTCAGAAGCAATCACTATCGAAACAGAAAATCCGACAGTAAACGTCGTGGACTTAACCACCCCAAACTCTTTTCCATTACGACACTCGACCCCTGATAGCTCTAGAAGACTCGAATCCGATTTAGTAGGTAAAAAGAAATCTCTCACAATCATAATTCTTACATCAATTTTTAAAAAAAGGCAGTTTAAGCCGTCGGGACGGCAGAGTGAATACGACCCATCTCGCTTACCCACTTAACCGTCAGCCGTTGTAGAAACACCGATAGTGAACAACCCCGATTGGCTTAACACAACTTCGATTCTCGCCACGATGGAGCTGCTAGGCCACCCAATGACACAGGAAGAACTCAGGAATTGGACTGAAAATAGAGCTCTGAACCGAGATGCCGCATAAACTTTTTGTTAAATAGAAACTTACATTCCGTGAAATAAGAAAAAAAAATTTGTTGCTTCAAATACATTCCCGACTTTCTTTTCCACTATCAAAAAAGTGTTGTGTTGTATCCGGGGTTAATTAACTTGGCTTTGGTTCGATGTTCAACTCGGACTATTCCGTTTCATGACCAAACACAATCTTTGGTGCTCACAACCACTTTTTTCAGTTAGTTCATTAAACTTCCAGTTACGTGCCTGGTCTATGCGGACATCAATTTTTCACTGAACGTTAAAATTTTACCCATCAGGCGTCATCCTCAGGCGTAATACTTTTATGGCAAGTTTGCCAACTTGCCTTTTGGGCGCTACTTGCAGGTGAGAAGTAAGTAAAATTTGTTACAACACATACTGCCGCATAATAATTTTTCGAGGGGAATGCCAAAGTGATCTTTTATCTTAAGGGTGATCTTTTAACCTTTTTGTTCTTCTTGCTCTAAACTTAATTTAGGTTGGATATCTGCCAAAAACGCATCGGCTTTTGGTACAACTGAGCTCTAGTCAGTGTATGTTTTTTACTGAAATTCATTCTCAAATCAACTTCTTAACCAATTCTATCTTTTATCTAGCTTAATCATCGTAAGGCAATGTCTTAGATAAAGCCAACGTAGATATCTAGTCTTAGATAAAATCTACTCGTTAGTTTAGTAGAGATTCATTATCGTGTCGAATCTTAAATTAGTCTGAGTTTAATTACCCCAGCGTCTTAACATGGTAATTTTTCGAATGTAGTTTAATTCCATTACAATTTTTCATTGTTTTACGTTGGTCTTGTTTTTGTGATAAGTCCATTCAATAGGAAGCCATACACACTCATTCGTCGATGAAACGTACACTACTCAGCATTTGAAAGTAGACCACTACTACCACCTTGTTGGATTCGACTATAATGTTGCAGCCGGGAAAGACCTTGCACTCCTCATCCTCACAGAGAAGATCAGCTTCGACGAATACAGGATGCCACTGACCCCCTGTGAAGGGGAGTGGGGGGAGAATAAATATGATTATATGGTATGGGCCGTGGGAATGGGCGTCGTAAACGACTCTGGAAAGTGGCCGGACAAATTGATGGTAAGTCATAGAAAAAAAAAATCAAACCAATTTTGAGACCGTTTATTTGTTTTATGGAGGAAAAATGGACTTTTTTTTACTCGAGGATGGGCTTAGAATTATTTCACGACAAGGCCTCGTTGCATTTCAACAATATGTAAAAGTAAACAATTTTCATGCTTATGCACGAACAAAACAAGGCTATACAAAAATTTTCGTTAAGCATTTCAACTTAGCTTGGAAAACCTTAAAGTACCGCTTCCAAATATGTTCTGGAAGGCATGTTGACCAATCGATTTCGACGAGACACAATACGCAGAGGGTGCCAACTTTTCCTGGTTCAAAACCCAAAAATAACCTAGACCACTTACTTATATAAAATAACTATCCGATCGCAATAAAGATGACCATAGAGCGAGGTGCACAATTGACAAGCGGAGCTTCTTTTTCAGGTAGTGCAGCTGAATGAGGTTCCTGAGAGTGTGTGCAGGAACTTATACTGGAGATTCTCGAGCAACTACCCACCCCAAGGCAGTGAGATCTGCCATGATGACCTGGCCAAAAATACAGACACATGTGAAGGTAAAATGCAGTCCAGTTACATTTTCCAAAGAGTTCCAAAATATTCACTCTGATTTTTTTAAATTTCAAATTCATCAACAGATCCACAGAAATTGGATAATGCCTGTTTTTTTGGTCAAAAACTTTGGGAATTATTTTTGTTACAAGACGATTTTGATAATTGTTAGCTACTTTGATGCATTTGACTCCAAAATTGCGTCGCGCTGTAGTATTGAAAATGCTACACACTTATAAAAGGCTATTGTTTTAATTGCTCACATAAGGTACGAGTAGAATTTTTTCTATTCTAAATTTGTTCACACCTCAAGATAGGAATGCCTTTTTAACTTAACATTTGATTCAGATTTCAGCTAAACAACCTAACTTAAAATTTTAAAAGTTAGATCCAAATATCTAATATTTTGAGTTCTTAACGGATTTTTTTTGTTCTTTCAGTTTTATTAACTATGGAAAAAGGCAGAGTCTTTTAGGAAAGTTTAACTGATGATCGAGGAAACTGAGTTTTTATCCACGACAGGCAGAGTGTCTCTATTGTTTTGACTTCGAAAAAATATGAATCCCCCGCTGCTCTGAATTTTAAAATAACTGAAGCAGGTAGAATTATTGTGAGTTCTCCGAGCTAAACTAAATATTGATTTTTTCATACTAAAAGATCAATAAGTTGCAAATGTCAATTTCATCAAAAGTATGAAGAAAAAGGGGAAAAGAAAATTTGAAGTCGAGAGTGCAGGTGCAGATTTGTCTCAGCCGAAAAGCTGAGGAATAAATCAACCTGAATCTTCAGAATTAATATATTCCCCACTCGCTCAGACGAGTTGAATGGTTTTCCTCTTTGATGTTTATCACTAATTTTCTCTATGATAAAAAATACTTTTGAAAAATATAAAATTCCAGAACTGACACAGGTAAGATTCCAATGTTTTCTTTTAACTTAAATAAATGTAGCTTAACATAAATACCCCAAACCTACTTGGTATTTAAGACAATTGTTCATCCAATTATAACTCATTTATACTTATTTAATCAAACCTTTTATTTTATCTGTCTGTTTAACTAATATTTTAACTCTAGGACCAGATCGACTATGATCTATGATATAATCTTACCGAGACTTATAACTTTAGTTACTAATTGAAACAAAGGGATCTAACAATCGATCCCAACGCTTCTTTTAGTAAAGCGCTGTCTAGTTGGATATACTGCCTTCAATAATTCATAAGGTTTGCTTACTAGGTGATGACGGAGGTCCTCTTTTCCTAGTCAGTCCAGACACTATGAGTGCCGTTTGCCTGTACGGTGTTGTCAGTTTCGGGGTGGCAGGGAAGGGGTGCGGTCATCCCGAAATCCCAACAGTAGCTGCCCGAGTATCATCCTATATTGACATGTTTAACCTTAAAGAAGACGAGAACAGTAGTTTCACCAGACGGGTGGACAGAAAAGGTGTTCTGCGTGATGAGATAGAGGTCATTTATGAGAAAAATTATAAAAACGAAGAGAGAAGGGTTTCAGTTGCCAGTAAGACATCAAAGATGTTTACCACATGTTTAATCGGCATTGTATTAAATCTCATTATTTTTTTTTGAATCGCTCATTGTACCTATCATTTTTGGACATTACAATATACCACTATTGAGATTCATCCGTCATTCTTATTGCTTGGCAGGGTGCTCTATGAAATGTATTTCAATGTAATTAAATGTATCTATATATATGATAGCTCTGTTGAATAAATCTCGGTAAAACTGGTAAATAAACTCTCGTATCATTTATTTTAATGATTTTTTTTCAGAGAACTAAGCAAAAACGAGATGAGTTTAGAAAAATTTGGCTTATCCTTGTCGCCAAAATAGGTTGCCCAATAAACGTATCGTGGAAGCTGATGATCAGAAATGGCCGTCAAAAAATCACTTGCCGTGTACTCTGCAAGCGAGGCAGAAGTTTACGAACAGAATTATTTACAAAAAAAGTTTATGAAAAAAATTTTTTTAAATAATTTTAAATGTCAATTAAAGTAGCGAACGCAACCATATAAGTGTTCTGGTTTTTATTGCATGAAAAACTTTTTCTTGCAAATAGATCAAAAATACCTACATTGTTGCCTTTGCTACGCTGATTAAAATATGCCTTCAATTAAAATATTTGAAACTTTGTTCCTCAATAAATCAAACTTAAGAAAAAGCAAAAAGTTAAATTAGTACTCTTGTACAGTTTAATTTTTTGCTTATTCTTTTAAAGCTCGATTTAAATTCATTCGTTAAAAGACAAGCAAATCACACCGTGAAAAAGTTTGTATTACTCCCTATTTATATAATACCCACGTAAAATTTTTTAAATATATATATATATTCTAAAAACTGTTTTGAGCTATTGAAATGTGGCCGCCAAAGTTGAACTTCTGAAAATCAAATAAGGGGTGGAAATAGTTAACAAGATCCGAAGCAAATTCGAGTTTCGAAAATGAGCTTTAGTTTTCAGCTTTCTGTTCAGCAAAAATTTCTAACCTGTTGATCCAGTTTTCTCAAAGTGGGTTTTATTCCATCAAAAAATGCCAATCAAATAACGTTCTTGAAATTCGCAAAACTTTAAGGCAATGTGATTCGATAGCTTGAAAGCTGTCCCATAAAAGTCAACCAATTTTTTTTTGCAATCACTATCAATTTTATAACTGGATGTGGACTATGGTCACCGCTCGAATTACATAGAGCTCGACCAGCAAAAAAAATTAAAAACATGAAAACGTATCGACCAGCATAGTTTTGATATCTCTGCTTCTCAGAAACACAAAACAAAAGTAATCAATTTAAATTGAATCTTGCATTTCTGAGAAATAGGAATGTGAACTAAGCAAACAAGCAAACTATCTGTTGAAGGAGAGGATGTTAACTTGCTGTTTTGGCTCTGAGTTTGAGATTTCAGCAAATCAGAAAAGAGCGTTTTACACGCAGCGCTCAGCAAATTAAATTTAATGGAACGCTGGGATGGAGGATCGGATTTCTTTAATTATCCTTCTATATGTTACCTAGGAGGGGGAGAGGTGTATTACAGGATGTTGACTTGATCTAAACTGTGTACCTCCTAAATTGTGATAAGTCATACTTCCACATAGTAAAGGACTTCCCGGGTCGAGGTCCCAGACTCATGTCCAGACTTTCGCGACAAAATTTTGGCATGTCCAGACTTTCCAGACCAAAATTAAGCATATCCAGACTTTGGCGACCAAAACCAGGCAGTTCCAGACTATTGTGCCCATGATGATTCGTCGCGACTATTGCGACCGAACCGGAGGTGGCGCGACCAAAACATTGCGACTCATATTTGGTATATCCAGACTCTCGCGACCAAGAAATGCCATTTCCAGTCTTTTGCGACCGAAAAACTAAGGCGCGACTTTCGCGACCGAGGCGGACACGGCGCGACCCTGTGGCTCAGGAAACGGCGTGACCAGCGCGACCAAACTTAGCCATTTCCAGACTTTCCAGACCTAGATGGAGACGGCACGACTTTCCAGACCAATATGGAGATGGCGTTTTTCAGGGCTTTCTCGACCGAGGTGGAGACGGCCCGACTTTCGCGACCATGGTGGATACGGCGCGACTCAGGAAACGGCGCGACTCAAAAAGAAACGGCGCGACCAAGAATTCATTCCTCGCGACCAAGGCGGAGACAGCGCGACTTTCCAGACCAAGGCGGAGACGGCACGACTTTCCAGACCAACAAGGAGACGGCGTTTTTCAGGGCTTTCTCGACCGAGGTGGAGACGGCCCGACTTTCGCGACCATGGTGGATACGGCGCGACTCAGGAAACGGCGCGACTCAAAAAAAAAAAGCGACCAAGAATTCATTCCTCGCGACCAAGGCGGAGACGGAGCGACTTTCCAGACCGAGGTGGAGACTGCGCAACAAAAAAAATTCTTTGCGACCGTGGTGGAAGGCGGCGCGACTTTACCAATCAGACTGAAGACAGCCCAGACCACGGTGCATATGGCAAGACTTTCCAGAACAAGGCGGAAACCGCGCGACTTTCCAGACCGAGGCAGAGACGACGCTTTTTCAGATCAAGGCGGAGAGGGCGCGACTTTCCGGACCATCGCGGAGACGGCGCGACCAAGAATCAATTCCTCGCGACCAAGGCGGAGACGACGCGACTTTCCAAACCAAAGCGGAGACGGCGCGACTTTTCAGACCAGAACGGAAACGGCGCCATTTTCCAGACCGAAGCGGAGGTGCCGCGACCAAGATTATATTCCTCGCGACCAAGGTGGAGACGACGCGACTTTCCAGACCAAAGCGGAGACGACGCGACTTTCCAGACCAAAGCGGAGACGGCGTGACTTTTCAGACCAAGACGGAAACGGCGCCATTTTCCAGACCGAAGCGGAGACGGCGCAACCAAGAACTAATTCTTCGCCACCGTGGTGGATGTGGCGCAAATTTAGCGATCAGTGTGTAGAGACGGCCCAGCCAGGGTCGCGTCGCATTCGGATTTAGACCCAAATCGCATAGTCGCGCCGAGAGTTTGAGTCTGGACATAAGAATTGGAAAGGATTGGACATGAGTCTGGGAACTCGACCCGGGTTAGAGCGAGGGGGCTGGACATAAGAACTGGAAACAATTGGACATGAGTCTGGGAACTCGACCCGGGTTAGAGACAGGGGGGTGGAAGGTAGTGTTCGCCTCCTCATATTACCACTCTTCCCATGGGATTTGACCATATAGCCCCAAAAAAGGGTCCCCCTTGGACATCATTTTGCTACTTTAATTTTTTGCTGATCAAACCTATGATTGGAAAGCATATTTTATACAGAAATGGTGTCATCTTTCTTATTCCGTCCAACAATCAATATTTCTTATCTGGAAGTAATTTGCTTCAACCTGATTGGCTAAAATAAGCCTTTCAAATTTCAGCACCACCACAAAATTTTTTGTTCGCCATGGTAGGTCGACTGGTAAATAAGCCGAATCGGCCAAAAGTATAGAATTTTTGGTAAGCTATTGAAATACCCATATGCTGATTAAAACTCAGAAGAAAACAAATATTTATCAGGAGTCCGGAATTCAGAAAAATAAAATGCTGCTAGGCTACCGACATGTGAGTTACGACAGACATTTGGTCTGTACTCATAGAGTAATATCAGATAAGATACACCGTATGTTCGTCACTCTATTTCCTTTTCGGCCGGATAGATTCGTGCATTTTCCTAGTCATATACCAATGTTAACCTTACTCTTATATCTCCTAGTCCCAATAGACCTAGTGTACAGGTTTTCGCGAGTTAGTTCTTGTTTATCCAGAAGGAGAACAACTGTAGTCTAAGATTTATTCAAATTGTTCTGGTGCTGAAACTAAAAGTAGTTTCACCACTTACAAATAAGTGTCAATGTTAGAGCTGGAATATGATTAGTTAGTTAGTAATAATTTATAGTGATAGTTTCATCAATAATATAATTGTATTTATGTCCAATTACAAATACTAGTTTAGAACTGGTTCCACCCATCCGGGGTTTAGAGAGTTTTTAGTCTTAAATTGTTCTTTTTTGTAGTGAAGGACGGCTGATATAGTTTTCTTTGGAAGTTTTGAGCAGTGATTTCTTGAAGAGAGGAGGGATGTAGTTGTTCGTGTAGATGGACAAAGATTCTCTTGTTCGTGTTTCAAGATGGGTTTAGTTGATCTTGGGTAGTCTTGGGTGATTGTGTCAAGACTTCTAATCGATGCAATGATGTATCGATTTCGTTAAATTTAGAGCAAAAGGGTGAAGTTGAGCTTTCCGTGTGAAGTGCCAAGTGACTGGGATCGGTAAGTAGTATATGCCGTGGCAGTTCAGCCCGGGGGTGGGGGGGGGGGGGGGGGGTGAATACCTTCTTGTATTAACATAGGCTATAGAGTATCCGGTCTTCACCCTATGTATTAACATAGGAAATAAATTGCCCAGTGTAAAAAGATAGAGAATAGGTTTCCCAATGTATTGAGATACCAGGTTTCAGATGGTAAGTTTTTTTTCGGCGCCCGAATTTCCCATCTATTAGGATAGTGTATAGATTTCCCAATGTATAAGGATTCATTGTAGGGAATTAAGACTTTTTAGGATAGGAAATAGGTTTCCCAATGTATTAAGATGGTAAGGTTTGTGTGCGATGGTAAGAGAAAAAAACGGTTGGATTTTAAGAAGAAATGTCTAGTTTCTTCACAAAAACTTCGGCGCGCGTTTTCTAATTGGTTAATATCAATGGTTAATTACGTGATTACGTGACAGTTGTGAAACGAAGTTCCTGTAATTAGTTTTTTAGTTCATAGTAAGTTAGTGGAAAATGTTCTTGGATAAAAACTTAGATTTTCTATCAAAAAAAATGAAAATTTATCAAAACAAAACTTCAAAATAAGATAAGATTTTTCTTAATTCGACCTATTAACTAATTTAATAGATTATCTTACTTTTTTAATTAGTGCTATTTTTACCTGAAACTGTACTGAAACCTGCTGAAACTCGAAAAAAGTCAAGGTTTTGGAAAAAAAAGGCAAAAGTTTTAATTTTTTAGAAAAAATTGCAGAAAGCTCAGGTTTTGGTTAGTTTTTTTGTCGCATTTGATCTAGTTGCAAAAATTCGTTATTATATTACGTGCAGAGTTTAAAATTAGGCCCATGTTGTAATTTATTTCGAATCATGTCGTGTCAATGAGAAAAAATTTTGAAAAGATGGATTTTCCACTATTTTCACTCAAA